GCAGAAAACAAAGTATCCCTGGAAAAATTTGAAAAAAATCATGATTTCTAGCTTCGAAAAAAAGTTTTTTGAAGAGTGTCATATCAATGGATTTGGCATGTCCGATTGTCTGTTGAGACTTGAGAGAGTTAAAGTTAAATGAACCTGTAAAAGTGTAAACCCAATAGGCCAATACACAATATGCTTTTACTTTTATAAAGTCATTGACATTGTGTCGTTTGAATCCGAGTACAATTTATGATGCAACTCCGATGTAAATAATATTTGGGGCGTAAAGATTAAATTTAGGCAAATCTATTTCCTAAAAGAATTAAAAACTAAGAATAATGTTCGTAAAAATTCCAAACGGTCCTTGGGGAGATAATAGAGTTTCATAACTTTACAATTGCTCCAATAAACCAGTGAATGCAAGCGAGGAGCGATTAGTTTCAGAGTGTTGTCTTTTTCTGTTCAAGTGTACTCCTACGTTTATTTTGTATCATCAACACTCTGCACCAACGACTATTTAATTATTTTTATTATGCCGAATATTTGGGGGCGGGGGTTAAAATTTTTTTGGAGGGGTGGACATTTTGTTTTGGGGGGGTTATAGCTAATATTGGGGGGTAGCACCCCCTTCACCCCACACCCCCCACAAAATCCGTCTATGATACTGCATGCACACGAAAGACAATGATAACAATTCAAAACATTTGCCAGAACAATATCGCTTTTTGCTCAAAAAACTTTAACTTCTGCACAATATATAATTAGTCACCAATCTTTTACGTAGGCGGAACTGTCAGTAATTGTCTTTTGTGTCAGTAAATGTAATTGTAAACCGCTATTGTATAGCACTATTCACTTTGTATCATATCTTATATCACTAGCACATTATTAACCCATTGAGTGGCGATGCACCCTGATGCAGTCTACTTTAGTATTTTACTCTGTCTAACGCCAGACGATTTTACTCGTCAAGGGGAGAGCGCTGGCGCTTAATGGGTTAGTCTACCCGTCGAAGACTACAGACTGGCAGTCAAAAGCTTGTAGTAAATAAATCTTTTTAACCAGAGAACGTTTACACAATTAATTATGAATCCTGGTTTCGCTTCCAACATTTTTAAAAGTACCAAGTTTATTTTAAAAAAATTATGTAATGTGTGTGTATGACATTGTCACTGAATCAGTTTATAAAGGACAATGGCAACGAAAATTTTTATTGGCTATTTCAATCCTACTTGACAACCGAACTATGAAAATATTATCATTTCCTTCTTGAACATTTTAGTCTACGAGTAAAATGCCTACAAACTTTGTGTTTCGGCCAGTTTCGCCGCCATCTTGGAAAATATTTTTGACAAGTCACATTTTTCAACATAATCTAGGTTTAATCAAAGAGTTTTCAGAAAGTGGGGGTATCATACCCCTCTCAACATCCATCCAGCTCGGTATGGCCCTGTGTCTGCCAATTTTTTTTTTAAGAATATGACTAATAAATATCAAGCTACTATAAAATTCTAAACAGCATCTATAGATTTCCATTCTATTCAGTGTCTTTTCCAAAAAAATAAAGCTATGTTTCAGTCATGGTTAATATCAGGGTTCTCATGGTCCTTGAAGATCCTGGAAAGTCTTTGAATTTGAACAAAAATTCCAGGCCTGGAAAGTCCTTGAAAATTTATAAGGTCCTTGCAAGTCCTGGAATTTTCTTTCAGTTGGGCTGGTAATATTTAAATTCAAGGTTGCTTAAATCACTCATTTTCTTCAATTTCAATAAAAATGAAGTATGATAGTCCAAAACAATTGTACTGTATTAAGAACAATGAAAGATTTTTCCAGTTCCTAGGTGGGAACCCTGTAATATTTATACCACATGTCGTTATTATACACAGCTGATTCATAAAGAAAATACCAAACGAACAACATATCACGAAACATTTCCAGTGGCAGTGTTACTGTTTTGCGATTACAGAGTTGAAATTGTAGGCAAAATAGCACAAATGAATATAATACAATTTATATGGCCACGGCCATAGATATCTTAATTTTCTTTTTAGTAACGACCAGAAGGCTTTTTTTAAAAAAAAATTTAATAAATTGTAACAACGTTTCGGAGTTTACTCCATCATCAGGTTACATTTATAACCTGATGATGGAGTAAACTCCGAAACGTTGTTACAATTTATTAATTTTTTTTTTAAAAAAAAGCCTTCTGGTCGTTACTAAAAAGAAAATTATTACATTTAAATGAGGCTTAGAGAAAGTTCGCTTCTAATCACATTGAATAGATATCTTATATACACTAGATAGCACATCTCTTTTAGTAAAATTGAAGCCAAGAATAGCCCAGCGGTTACCCCCATTTGAATAGATGGCGGCCATGTTGGTCGTTCCCACTTGCTAATAAACACTTAAAAACAACAATAACTTTCATCATTTGAATAGTTAAAAAACGTATTTGGAATAGAATTAACTTAATGTTTAAATTCCCTGTTTAAGAAATAGCAAATATACGAATCTTCTCATTTCATGGGAACGACCTGAGACTGCAATCACAGCTTCAATTTTTGAATTGCAGAATAATTAGATGCACTATCTAGTGTATATAAGATATCTATGTCCACGGCACTATTAAAACACACAATGTTGTAAACTCAAATGCCCTTTTTATCTTTGAAACAAAAGCGAGTATTAAACCGTTATGGCTTATGGTGTAGAATATTGTCTCCAGTAATTTGCACCATGATAAGGAGAAAATCCAGAAGTACTTTAGTATTATAATCCTCATCATTATTAAACTCGTAGACAGCATAAACCACAACTCGGGACCATATTAAAACATGCCACTCTTCAAACAAATTCTAGAGCGATATGTAAGCGTAACAGGCAACAATTTTGCTACAAATTAATCATAAGACACTCTTCTTTCATAAGAAGCACAAACAATCATGATCGCATTGCGAAAACGGCTGACAAAATATTTGCTTCGAAATCACATTTCTCCATATTACGCCATAATAATTATCGCTCCTTTGGGTATCCGGAAGTAAATTTGCACGCTTGCGAGTTGGCTTCACTTTTGACATGTATAGAAGCTATATCCAGTGTATTATTAGATCAGTGCTGCAGACTGTCAGTCGAAAGCTCGTAATAATAAATATTTAAAAACCAGAGAACGTCTAAAAACTTATTATCATGAATAATCCTGGTTTCGCTTCAAACATTTTATATGATTTTGATTAACTGATTTTATATATCAACACTACTGAAACACCACGTAAATTTATTACTGCAAAGCTTTCAATCCGTAAGCCCGGATCTTCATCGGTGCTAATAATATGTTATTATTATTATGTAATAATAATAACATATTATTAGCACTGATGAAGATCAGGGCTTACGGATCGAAAGCTTTGCAGTAATAAATTTACGCGGTGTTTCCACAAACAAAACTATTATATTTTATCGCCATGCAAACATACAAAGAACTTACAACACTACTGCTTAAACAAACTTAGCCGAAGTTACACCAGGGCGCCAACAATGACATATCCCCCCGCCGGATATCTCCAGAAAATTCTACATAGAACCCACCCTGAGCTAGTTGGTACTGTTCCAGTTTACATAAGCATAGAATAGAACAAAAGTTATTATAATATAAAGCTTTAAAATTATCTACATGAATGAGTATTAGCCATACCTAATTTTGGTGTGCAGTGATAACCAATTTGTGTAGTGATAAAAGTAAAATGTCTAGTGATAAATTGTAAAATGTGCAGTGATAAAATTAGCTGTAATAAGTTATTAATTAAAAGAAAATGAGGCAATGAGCAAAAAAACTGAACTAAAAATTTGTCTTGACACTTGACAGTATTAATCAAAACATTTTGAATGAGAATAATTTGAAAATTATGTAACGTCCGCACTAAGATTATACTTAATTAAGGTTCATCAAATGAACAAATTCTCTCACCAGAATTATCTCTTTATATGAGCTTGGAAAATGGAGTGAATGATACTTAACCTTTTGTAATTTGTGTATTAATCTTCAGAATTCTATACGATTGAATGTTCCCACACATTGCAGGAAATGCTCTTTTAGAAAGCCTAGATTAGAAACTGATTTTCTGTGGGTATACGCCCCTGGAACTCAGTCCAGAGATTTGTCACGCCTAAGCCATCTTTCTGATTTGCCAAAGCGAAAATATTTCTTTTCTACAAGCTCAAGATGAGCCGATAAGGAAAATTGCCGATTACTGAGGCCGATTATTTATAAGCCGATTATCGTAACTAATCGGCCGATTCTGAATCGGCAGGTTCTGTAAAGGCCGCCCAGAGTGGTGGAGGGGCAATTTACCCTGGAGCCCCAGTTAAAAGGGGGCCCAAGTAAAGAATTACAGTGAAATATACATAAATATAACTGCCAATTCTAGAATTCCAGAATGCAGAATTTGGCCATTTCCGGGACCCGAGATTTCAAAATTTTCCCGGGGAGAATGCCCCCGCATCCCTCTAGTCATAGTTGGAAGATGGAATCACAAGTGGCCCCTACTCAAATTTTGCCCTAGGCCCCCAAATTAATTTCCCTAGGCGACCCTGGGTGGAAAATTTGTTTCTTGTGCGCCGAAGATTTGATCAAGGTTCAGTAACATGCGCCAGTGGCTGCACAAATCCTGTTTAATTTAAAACACATTCACATGCACCGCTGAGTTGCAATATAGAATGAGACAGAACAGATACTAAACATTTGAAATACGGTCAGTCAGTGCTCAATCAAATTCCCTTTATTAAATGGCTGAAATACAGACATAAATGGTTGAGAACGTTCTAGTGTGCACAAGTAAATATTTCTTGTATGCCAGTGCGCCACGCCAGTTCGTTTTCCCAGAATTCTGCGCCAAAATGGAGCAAATTTATGAATTTTCCACGCCGAAGATCTTCGGCGCAACCTACAAACTTTCCACCCTGGCTAGGCGACCCTGGGTGCTGTGCAGTGTATGTTGGTTTTGGCATTTTTGAATAAGGGTGTGCTTCTGCTCGGCTAAACTTTGCAAAAAAATGTGCAGTGATAAAAAATTCTTAAAATTAGGTATGGTATTAGCTCTTATACATAGCTGATAGCTCTAAAATGCTTGGTTATTTTTGTTTGATTCTATTCTTCTATAAACTAGAACAGCAGTAACTAGCCATGAGTTTCCCTAAACCACAAGTGAATTGGGCGTAAACAACGTTCATAACCAATATATTTGTCTACTGACTCTACTCAAAATGAATCGAAGTATAGCTTCGAGAGAAGACCTTTAAAACTAAAAACTATTACAGAAACCCGTTAAAAACTTACCATTAACTCATTAAGACAGGCTGTTCTTTCATTCAAGCGTATTATCTCTTTATCCATGCTCGAATTGCGAGTAGAAATTTTCGACAAACAGCGAGGAAGTTTGAAATTTCGGTCGGTCTTTCACAGCAAATAACATCACAACAACTGAATGGATTTTCCTCTCCAGTGAATAAACACTCTCCCTTTCCATCAAGTTATACTTTCCACAACGAACTAGTCGCTATAACGTAAAATAAGCGGTTATTTCAAAACAAAATTCCACTTAGATGCCCAGGTATAAACGAGCGCCATCTTGTCTTCTCGAGAATTAGAAAATTTTGTTAATTTTCCCGCAAAAAACTCCCGCGAAGTCCCGTATGAAAATGACGTCACAGGTCAGAGTCCGGGGGGGAGGGGGAACTACCAAATTGGGTCAAAGATTTCAAAAATACGCAATTAAATGCAATTTTAAAAACCTGTTTAGCTGTCTATTTTCGCTTTTGAATTCATGTAGGGTGTAGATTATCATGAACTACCAAAGTACGAGACAATTTGATGTACATTAGTATTTGAAGTACCAACATCATAAAGAAGTACCAACAAAATGTGACAACAACTTAATGCGTGAAAGGTTACTATACTTACTATATATGGAAAATCAACTTTTGGAGGACTTATGGTACTTTGATAGTTCATAAAAGTGATCAAACACCTTCTAAATTTGTACCCTATCGGCTATGAATTCAAACTATCAAGCCTTACTGAACTTAGACTTTTCAAAATAATTTTACTGCGATTCAACCATAGATATCTTATATGATTCAACATCGATAAATTTCGTTTAATTACTTGTTTTCAAAGTCTATCTCAAAACATTTACCCTCGCTAGTTCCCACCGACTTTCAATTTGTACATAACTACAAGTTTGTACAAGCTAGAATGTTTGAAATGGACTTCGCCGAGTCCGCGCCATTTCATTTTCAAAGTCTTCAAACAGGAGAATATTTTCACAAATTCATTACTTTAAAAAAGTATCAAAAAATATTTAGAACCTTCAATGGTCTTCAATAATACTTAAAATTTAATACTAGAATACATTCTTGTAGCATAAAGGATGCTTATACACAGGCGAGCTACAATGAGGGTGGGAAAGGGTATTTTCGTGAGCCGTGAATGGTGAATATTTGTTCGTGTGAAATGCTTGATTTTAGTGTCGTGAAATGTGATTTGTTCTACAGCCGTGAGGCGTGATTGTTGATAAAAATGCTCCGTGAAATGAGAAATAAGGATG